ATATTGTAAAAATTCTTACTCAATATCGTAATTTAATAATAAATTTTTTTTCAAAAAAAAAAAATTTAAAAAAAACTACTAAAGAACAACTCCAAAATCCTAAAGATAATTAATTATAAAAGAACAACTTCAAACTCTAAAAATAATTATAAAAGAACAACTTCAACTTCAAAAAGAATTACCAAAAAATAACTCCAAAATCTTAAAAAAGAATTACTAAAAAATAGCTCTAAAACTAAAGCAAATTATCAAAAAACAGCTTCAAAACCTAAAGAAGATAATTATTAAAAAATTAATTAAATGTATTACTAGAACATGAAGATATAAAGAAGGAAAATTTTGTACACAATTTCGAGCACTAGTACGAATAATTTACGGTATACAATTATATATACAATTATATATACAATTATATACAATTATTATATATACAATAATATGCAATTATACGTAGTTATACACAGTTATGCACAGTTATACACAGTTATACGCAGTTATATGTATACAGTTATATACAGTTATACACAGTTATACACAGTTATACGCAGTTATACGTATACAGTTATATGCAGTTATATACAGTTAAATCATTATAAAGATTATAAAGATAATAAAGGCAACATTCGTCAGCATTCGTATGTTTGCATATTCTTTAGTTTAATTTGTTAAAACAAATAAGAAAGTCTTAACCATAATAACAACCAAACAGTGAATGGAAACCACTATACGATAAAGTTTATGCATATATTTTAAAATAATTTTAAAATATAATTTTAAAATATAGTTTCGTTTTACATTTTACATCGATGTTTTTTTTTTTTTAACTTATTATTAAATTAGCATATATAAAATATCGAATGTGGTTTCATTATAGATTCATTATATATGCGTAACAATATACCTTACCTGGTGAAGAATCTACGAAAATTAACTTGTATAAATAAGTTAATTGTTAATTCCAAGTATGGAAAATAACGAAACACGCGAATTTTAAATAAATGATGACAAATCAATAAAGAATAAGGAGTGTTGGTTTTAGATTTAGTATTATGTCATAATCGATAGCGTACAATAGGTGTTTTCATGCATATAGTCATTCACAAATGCATAAATAATTTTCTAAAATATCAGCAACTGATGAATGAATATAGGTAGGCAAACTGATATACATGAATATTCTTTGTATATAGTTCAGTAGTTAGAAAATCGTTCATAAATGCATGTGACTAATGTAACTAATACGTATAATAAACTGTACTTTAAAGTAGAGTTTGCATTTTACACATTTAATTCAATTGAGTTTTTTTGTAAATTTATTAATTTATTTCAAATTTATTCCAAATTTATTCCAAATTTATTCCAAATTTATTCCAAATTTATTTCAAATTATTTCAAATTTATTGCAAATTTATTGCAAATTTATCTCGTGATTTATTCCGACGCGTTCCGGTAAAAAAACGAAAATCGCGAACAAAAATTTAGTCATCGCCCATGTAATAATTGTAAGTCTATAATTCGTCATGTATTATTGTATGCGTAGGCACAATTTTATCATTAACCAAAATTTTTTTGATACACAATTGTATAGAATATTGTATAGAATATTGTATAGGATTTGTGTAAAATTGAAAACCTTTCATTTTGTATTTCCTAAATTTAGATGAAAATTGTGACAATTGATGACGTAGAAATAACCATCAAATTTCATCAATTTAAATTTGATACATCATTACCTGGGTAACATACATACTTAGAAACAAATTATCTTGAAAAAAAAAATATATATCATATATATCAGATATATATCGAAGCGTTTCATACGTACCTGCAGACAAATTGTAAACAAAGGCAGTAACACAACACAAAATTCTTTGTTTTTTTTCTTTGTTAAACAAACATGCAAGTAGTTTTTACGCATTCAAAAGTCTTTGAAATCTTCGATAAACTTCCAAACAAAAACTTACAAAAACTCTTACAAAATATTACGCAATATTACGCAACCTTACACAAAGCAATGATTATGTAACTACATTTTTCATAAGATAACAATGTGAGGTAAAAAAAGAATACCTGCGGGGAAGCATTATTATTTTTTTAAAAAAATAAATTCGGTTCTGATACAGGATAATGGACGCATATACGCATAATGAAGGGGCATATATGGAATAATTTGTATGTAAATTATATACGTATGTAACTTATATTTGTAACTTATAGATGTAACTTATATTTGTAAATTATATATTTGCAAGTCCAGTAGGCATGCATCCGATAAAGGCCGTACTACAGTAAATATACGGCAAGGTTATTGTCAGCAACTTATGTAATCTGCTTCAACAAATATTTTTTTTTCATGGATACACTAAATTCTTATAACCACGTGATTCTTTGCCAAATTTTCGAATGGTTTATTTGTATTAGCTATAAACCAGAAGTATTGCAGATATTGCAGATATATTGCAGATATTGCAGAGATTTTGCAGAGTTATTGCAGAGTTATTGCAGAATTATTGCGTGAGAAAATTTACAATTAACATCCAAAAAAAAAAAAAAGATCGAAACATTAAAAAAAGAAAAATTAGTAAATTAAGAAGAAGAAAAAAATAAAGGAAAATATACTATGTTACATGCGAAACTCGTAAAAATTTTTTCATATATTTTGTGTATGTGTGAATTGTTGTATTGTAAATGCTATTGGGAAATTTTTTTTTTAGGTGTAGGTGTATTATTATACAAGAAAAAAAATATATTGTAAAGAAATATATTTTAAAGAATATATTTTAAGGTTTAAAAAATTAAGAAATATTATTGTAAATAAACATTAACAACTACTTTTAATAAACACTGTAAAAAAAAAAAAAAATTAAGAGAAACCAATGTCCACAAAATTAAAGTATATATAATTTTCTTATTAATGTATTTTGAATATCAACTCACTTGATTTTTCAAGTGTATATATGAAAAAATTAGGCTGCTTGAAACCACGAAACATTTTCTGTTTGCATCATCATATCATGAGTTTGAGAAGCAACAATTACCGGATCAACTACCGATCCTGCAGGAGATCCTACTCCACTATGTGAATAAGGTGAATCATGTTCTGGTGATTGATGACCCGATGGCGATGTTGTTGATGCTGGTGTACTTATGCTTAATGGACTTCCTCCATTATTTGTCCACATTTGTTGCGAAGTTGTTGTATTCGGCCATATGTATAGTGAATTCGCATCCCAGAATGTATGATTTGAATCAAGACAACTCACATCAAGTTGTTTTGTGCCATTCAATGGTAATAAAGAATTAAATTGATGTGATGTTGGCACCTGAATCGGTGTGGAAAGACCCATTGAATTAATGGATGGATTAATGGATGGATTAATAGATGGATTCATAGATGGATTCATAGATGGATTCATAGATGGATTCATAGATGGATTCATGGATGGATTAATGGATGGGCTGATGGATGGGTTAATGGATTGGTTAATGGATTGGTTAATGGATGGGTTTATGGATGAGTTAATGGATTGGTTGATAGATGGGTTGATAGATTGATTGATAGATGAATTTATGGAAGGATTTATGGATGAATTAATAGAAGAAGAAATCAATGAACCACCATCTACCGAATTATGTGAAGGAAGGAATTCGAAAGGTTGGTTTTGTTCTGGGGTAAAGAAATGTTGATCGGAACCTTCAGCTAATAAATACAATGGACGTTCATTAAAACGTGGAGGAGAAGAGGATTGTGGAAATTGAGAAAAATTATC